CTAGTGATTGGAATGCAAAAGTGGGAAACAAAGAAGAATCACCAGTAGTTGGGAAATATGGCCTTGGTGATAGGAATGACAGTGGAGATCACATGATAGAATTTTGCAAGTTCAAAGAGTTATTCATTGCAAATACCTCTTTTCAATAACAAAAACAGCGTAAGTATACACTGACATTCCTGGATGGAATGCACAGGAAGCAAATCGACTATATCTGTGGAAAGAGGCAACGGAGAAGATAAATATCTTAAGCTAGAGCAAGGCCAGGAGCGGATTGTGGAACAGACCACAAACTGCTTTTATGCAAGTTCAAGTTGAAGCTGAAGACAAGTACATGAGAGCCAAAATAAGACTGTGATTATATCTCACCTGAATTTAGAGACCATCTAAAGAATAGATTTGATGATTGAACACCAATGACTGAAAACCAGAGGAATTGTGGGAAGACATCAAGAACATCATCCATGAAGAAAGCGAAAGTTCATTATAAAGACAGTAAAGGAACAAAAGACCAAAATGGATGTCAGAAGGGACACCGAAACTTGCTCTTGAACAGGGAGTAGCTAAAACAAATGGAAGAAATGACAAGATAAAAGAGTTGAACACTGCTTATGGAAAATGAATTTGCTCTGTAATTTTTCACCCAAATCATAGTAAAAATTAAAAGAAAAAAAAAGAGTTTAACAGAAAATTTCAAAGAGCAGCTTGAGTAGACAAAGTCAATTACTATAATGAAATGTGCAAAGACGTGGAGGTAGAAAACCAAAAGGGAAGAATAGACTCAGTATTTCTCAAGCTGAAAGAACAGAAGAAAAATAAAAGTAAAGTCTTGAGTTGCAGTATTGAAAGATTCTATGGGTAAAATATCGAATGGTGCAGAAAATATCAAAAGAAGATGGAAGGATTATACAGAGTCATGATGCAAGAAAGAATTGGTCGATTTTCATCCATTTCAGGATGTGGCATATGATCAAGAACTAACAGTATTGAAGAAAGATTTGAAGTTGCACTGACTGAAGGAATTGGCAAACACAGCTCCAGGAATTGACGGAATACCCACGGAGATGTTTCAACAAATGGATGATGTGCTGGAGGCATTTACCATCTGCACCATGAAACTTGGAAAACAGCTATCTGTCTAACTGACTGGAAGAGATCTGTATTTGTATACATTCAAAAGAAAGGTGATCCCACAGAATGATTGAACAATATCATCAATATCAGACAAGTAAAATCTTGCTGAAGATAATCCAAAAATAGTTCCAGCAGTATATTGACAGGGAACTTCCAGAAATGCAACCTGAATTCAGAAGAGAGTATGGAATGAGAATTATTATTGCTGATGTGGGATGAATCTTGCATGAAAGCACAGAATACCAGAAAAATGCTTACTTGTGTTTTACTACCTAGGCAAAACCATTCGATTGTGTGGATCATAATAAATTATAGATAACATTGAGAAAAATGGGAATTCCAGAACAATTGTGCTCACGAGGAACCTGTAATACTCAGAGGACATAACTTTGCTTGATGCAAGTTGAGAATGACTTGAAGCACTTACTGTTGATGATTAAGGACTACCATCTGCAGTATGGATTACATCTCCACATAAAGAAAATGAAAATCCTAACAAGTGGACCAATAAGCAGCATCACAAGAAATGGAGGAAAGATTGAAGTTGTCAAAGTTTTCCTATTACTTGGTTCCACAATCAACACCAAAGAAAGCAGCAGTCAAGAAATCAGACAATGTAGGGCACTGGGCAAAGTGACTGCAAAAGACCTCTTTAAAATGTTGAAGAGTTACATGTCTCTTTTAAGGCTAAGGTGTGCCTAACCCAAGTCATGGTATTTTCAGTTGCCTCATATGCATGTGAAATCTGGACAATGAATAAGGAAGACTGCAGAATTGCAGCTTTTGAGATGTGGTGTTGACAAAGAATACTCAAAAGTACCATGGACTGTGAGAAGAACAAACAAATCTGTCCTGGAAAAAGTGCACATTGCATGCTCCTTTGAAGTGAGAATCAGACAGTATCTGACATACTTTGGTCATGTCCGAAGGGTTCATTCCCTGGAGAAGGATATCATGTTTGGCAATGTGAAGGGTCAGCAAAAAAGGGGAAGTCCCCTGTTTGGGTTACCAGTGCCACTCTGAAAAGAATATACAATGAGTGGGATAGCTTTAAGAAACAGGAGTTTATTCTTACAATTTGGAGGCTTTAAGTCCAAATTCCAAGTGCCAGGCTCTAGGGACCAGGTGAAATTGCTACAACCTTGGGCTTTAGCTTGCCTTCTACTCCTGGCTCACTGAGGCTGCACTCAGCTGTTGGTTAATGAGGCTGACAAACCCAAGGCTGTCAAGTAAAAAGGCTAAGTTCTGATATTACCAAACCATACAGCAGGCCTTTAATTCAAGTCCATAGAAGGTCCCAAGGCTGGAAGAGCGTGGCAGACTGCTGAACATCAACACAGCTACATGCAGGATTCAAGTGTGCCATAAGCTAGAGACCACTCCCCAAGGCTTCTCCTTACATACAGAAAGCACACCACATCCCTAAGGCAGCTACTCAACTGCTTACAGTAGATTCCACCATGAAGTTGCCTACCAGTCTCATCATGAGGAATACTACATCCAGCTGTCCAGCCACTTAACCAGGCTCAGCCAAGTTGACACACAACCTTAACTACCACACCCCCCCATACCACATGTACGCTCATTCCACTCACCAAAACACAACATGCATCACATGGACACACATGGACCATGTGTATTAAATGCATAGATCACATACAACATATGTACACCCCCACATACAGTTTCATATTAACACCAAACACCACCATACAACTAAACACTCAAATACATTCACACACACACACAAATCAAATCCATGCACACACCAAATTGTTCACATATACCAAACTACCAACACACACTCCTGAATAATGGCCAGTGCCAAGAGTCATAAAGGGCTGATCTTTAAAGCCAGGTGTTAAAGAGGTTGTGTGTGTTGAATAATTTCCTTTGTGTTGGAAGGTTCACTTGCAACAGGTAGAACCTCACCAAGGCATTTTTACACAAACTCCCAGACTGAAGAGCAAATATTGCTCTAGATCGTATTTTGGTGAGTAGGGACTGGGGTCTTAAAAGTTTGTAAGCAGTCATCTAGATGCAACAATGGGTCTCTCCTCTTCCACAGCAAAGAAGAATAAAGAAAACCAAAGACACATGGAAACAATTAGTCCAAGGTACTAGGAGACCATGCAAATCTCAGTCTATATGATTATGAGACCGGAAGTACAAGATGGTACCCAGCTACTGCTGTCAACCACTTGGAAAGGGATCAGTGGAGGAGACCCTGGATAGAGTGGGAGAACACTGTGGAGCAAAATACAAAAGCATTTAAAAAAAAAAAAAAAGAGAGAGAGAGAGATTTTCTTGTCTGATAGAACCTGGTGAGACCCACTGACACTATGGCCCCTAATTACCCTTCAGGTCTGGAATTGAACTCACTTCCATGGATTCCACCTAAACAGGCACATGGCATGAACATTCACATCAGGTAGAGATACACTCCTTACAGAGATCAATCACGGGAGAAAAGAAGGATGGTATTTGCACAGGGAGATAGCTCAGGGGCAGGAATGCACAGGAAATTAGTACACAGGGGAGAGGCAACTAGAGGGGAAAGTAGGAAGAGAGGTTGATACATTGTGGGGAATTACAGTTAATGCCACTGAACAAAATGTGTATGAACTACTATATGAAAAATGAATTCGCTCTGTAACTGTCACCCAAATAAAAATTTAAAACAAAAAGGAAAATTAAGTTTTTGTTGGGCTTCTTTCACACCTGTTTCAGCGAATCTACAAGTAAATCTTTCACGTTGTTTCTGGGTACAGAGGTACCCTGCATAATATAGAAAAGAAAACATTTCAGTAAATGACATTAGATACAACTCGTAGGTAACAGTTGCGAATTACACAGAAATTAAACTTACACACAAACTTAGGAGTGGACCTTGTTCATCATCTGAGGACTGCCAGGAGTATTATAAACAATTTAATACATCAATGAAGGGGAGAGAATGATTGCAGACTTCCAATTACTATACAAAAAATGGCTGTAAAACAAAACACCATTTGGCAAACACCACAATAATAATGAGTGGTAATAACTCTTAATAGCATACTAAAATTGGCAGGCCAAAGTACATTAAAAACCAATATTTGCACAATCTCAAAGTATCACCCTCTGAGAACCTTAATGATTATACAGAGCAAAACAGTTAACTTCACAGCAGGAAAGATGGAAATGCATTAAATATGAAAACACGCAAAACCATACACCAGTGTATTTAATTGTATGTAAAATAACAGCAATAAAAACACTGAAAAAAAATACAAAACCATATTTTCTCATGGCTATTCCTCCCAGTATCATTTATAATACCTGAAACTTCCAGACAGTAACAGTAAGCTTGTAATGAGGAAGTAACAAACACTAATGAGGACAGACCCACCATTAGGGTGAAACTGTCCTTTCTCCCAAAGGCAAAAGGATCTTCTCTTTGAAATGGTATTGCTTTCTTACTGACTGATAATTTCTGTTCGCTAACTGCAGACTTTCAAAACTTGGTGTTACAAATTCTAGTAGTAAGGATAACACATCTCATTTTTAACAGTTTTTCCACTTCTGAATAATGAGCTCTGATGTGAGGTATCCCTAAAGGCGTTCCCACATTTCTTACACTCACAAGGCCGCTCTACTGTGTGTTCTTCTACATCTAGTAAGGTTGGAGGGCTGACGAAAGGCTTTCCCACATACCTTACAATCATAGGGCCTCTCTCCATTATGTATTGTCACACATGTGGTAAGATATGTGAAAAATCTAAAAGGTTTTATTGATCAAATGTCTACACCATGAGTTACATTGAAAGACAAAAGGAATGACGGAAAGCTTTCCCACATTTCTGGCATTCTCAAGGTCTCTCTACAGCCTGAGTATTTGTATGTTGAGTAAGGTGAGAGGTTTGCGTGAAGGTTTTCCCACATTCCTTACATATATAGAGCCTTTCTCCATGGAGTACTTACAAGTTTATTGAGCTGCGAGCAATATCAAAAGGTTTTTTTCCCCCAAAATGCACATTTACACTCACAAGGCCTTTCTCTATTGGGAGGCACTCTATGTTTAGTGAGGTTTGAGGTATCACTAAAGGATTTCACATACTGCTTCCATCTGAAGATCTCCCTCCGTAGTGAGTTTTTCCATGTTTCATGAGGTCTGAGGATTGAAAAAATCCCTTCCCACATTCCTTACATTTATAAGGCCTCTCACCACTGTGAGTCCTTTTATGTATAGTGAGGGATGGCTTGTGCTTAAATGCTTTCCCACATTCCTTACATTCATATGGCCTCTCACCACTGTGACTTCTTCTGTGTCTAATGAGGCATGCGTTCCACTTAAACGTTTTCCCACATTCCTTACATTCATAAGGCCTCTCTGCACTGTGAGTTCGCAAATGTACAGAGAGAGAGTAGTCTTGAATAAAGCATTTCCCACATTCCTCACATTTATAGGGCCGTTCTCCACTGTGAATTCTTTCATGTCTAATGAGATATGAGGCACGCTTAAAGGCTTTTCCACACTGTGAACATTTATAACACCTCTCTCCACTGTGAGTTCGCATGTGGACAGTGAGTTGTGAGACATGAATTAAACCTTTCCCACACTCCTTACATTCACAAGGCCTTTTGCCACTGTGAGTTTTTCTATGTCTAGAAAGGGATGAGGAACAGCTAAAAGCTTTCCCACATTGCTTACATTCGTAAGGCCTCTCGCCACTGTGAGTTCTTCTATGTATAGTAAGGGATGAGTGAAAAGTAAAAGCCTTCCCACATTCCTTACATTCATACGGCCTCTTACCGCTGTGAATTCTTCTATGTGCAGTAAGGGATGAGGAAAAAGTAAAAGCCTTTCCACATTCCTTACATTCATAAAGCCTCTCACCGCTGTGAGTTCTTCTATGTTTAGTAAGGGATGAGGAACAACTATAGGCTTTCCCACATTCTTTACATTCATAGGCCCTCTCCCTGCTGTGAGTTCTTACATGGACAGTGAGATATGACCCACGTTTAAAACCTTTCCCACACTCCTTACGTTCATACAGCCTCTTCCGAATCTGAGATTGCATATATTTAGTGAGGGATGAGGCATCATTGGTATGTTCAATGAGGTAAGAAGACTGACTAAAAGCTTTCTCACAGTCCCTACCCGTATCATGAATTCTTTCATGTGTGCTGAGGTTTGAGGCACACCTGAAGGCTTTTCCACACTGTGTACATTCATAACGCCTCCCCACACTGTGGGTTTGCATATGTCTGGTGAGGGATGAAGAAAAAGAAAAAGCTCTCCCACATTCCTTACATACAAAATGCTTATCCCTGTTATGAAAATTTTTATGTGAAACTAGGGATGAAGGATGAGTAGAGTCTTTAGAATATGCTTTACATGCACGCTCATCACCTTTCACGGGCATCCTAAAGGACGACAAACTACAGGGATCTTTCCCACATTCGTGACTTTCACAGTGCTCCTCACCAGTCAGTGCCGTCACAGGATCCTTAAGGGTTGATGTACAAATCAAGTCCTTCCTACATATCTTACATCTATGGGGCTTCTTTCCACGAAGAGTTCTCATAGGAGTGGTTGCTTGGGTGGGACAACCTTCCTCACACCGACAAGAATTACATCCAGTGGGAGATCGGGCAGGATGCTCATGTGATGAGTGGTGCATGAAGGCTTTTCCACATTCATAGCATTCCAAAGGCTTTACTTCTGGAAGATTTCTTGGTAACACAGGGAGATTTGGAATATGGCTGGAAGTTTTCCCATACGGATCACCTTCCTGACTTTCACAGAGGTTCTCTACTGTACAACTTCTGTTAAAAACAGGCAATATGCTGTTGGAAATTAATGGGTTCCCATTTCACAATAACCAAATACAGTTAACACACAGGTTTTGCCTTGACTTGTCTAATGTTTCATAGGTTAAATATTCTAGCAGAAATACTACCATTATGCTCACTGTTTTTGTAAAACAGATTATCAGATCATGTTAGAGTATCTTTCAAATAACAGAAATCTGAATTACGTTATGAAGACGTTGTATGGTGAAAATTCTCTCAACCTGTAATTTCACAGCCAGTTAACATGTACACATGTTATATATAAATGAGTATGTCTTATTGGTTTGAAGAGATTCGTAATGGCTCTGCATTTGTGGATATAAGCAAAGGCAGCTTACACTTTGCATAGCAACCAAATACAATACCATTCAGATTTTGACCTGAGTAGCAAAGAAGCAAAGAGGTCTGGTGGCATAGTGCCTAAGGCATTTCAGTGCTAATCAGAAGGTTGGCGGTTCAAAGCTACCAGCCACTCTGCAGAAGGGAGGAGACTGGGCAATCTACTTCCGTAAAGATTTAATGCCCCAGAAACCCAATGGAAGTAACTAGGAGTTGGAATTCACTCGATGGCACTAGGTTTGGTTTTGGTAGGAAACAAACACCCTGGCCATACTCAAACATGGTGGATAACTGTACAGCTCTGAATGCATGTGATGCTCTATAATACTCCCAATAATCCAATCTCCCACACATATACTAAAAGTTTCAGGAGCCTGATAAGAGATATTGGATTACGGGGAAGGTGGTAGGGAGTAATACACATTCAATTACGGACAGCCAGCTTCAATGTTTGAGCGGAACACCACTGATTGTTTTCTGCTCAGGTCAAAATCCAATGGGCAACTGATGTGGTTGACGTCCAGTGTGTACACAACTCTTATTTACACTAGGAGTTACACACTGGTTCAAAGCCCTGCTATATAGACATAGAGACACACACACACACATTGATGTTAATGTCACCACACCAAAGGAGTTTCTCCTGAGGCATTCTTCTCTCTTGTTTGAATGACTCTCACCTCAAATGTTTCTCCTGGTTGGTAGGTTGCTCTTTACTGCTATACAATTTTGAGAATTCTCCCAACATGGAAGAGCAGATGTTATTCTTCATTAATTGCAGCATGATATTGTCACTGGAAAACTTTTCTCCACAAGTTATGCTACCAGAGGCTGAGCCAATCATTCAAGTTGAAGATCACAGCATGAAACAAAAAGGAAGGAATTATTATGGAAAGAAAGGCTGCTGTGAACAATAACAGACTTACCTGCTTTGACCCTTTCAACACTTTGGAAGTACTTGCAAAGTAATTTAACAGCAAATACTTCCATCAGGAGTGAGAGAGATGTTCACACAGGTATGTGTTATCAGGAGACAAAAGTAGAAAGGTATTGGACAAGGTAACATGTAGCATTACAACAGGAAAAGGGTCTCCAGGACATGAGGTGTGAGAGGACAACGCACATCAGAAAAGTAAGCTCAGGTATCTATTAATGTGTGTCCTCAACCCAAAGCTGACTTCTCTTCATTTGGCTGATGGAGTCAAGTAGAATGCCCTCCATGAAGGTCTGGTCCTTCACCCAATTTTGCTTCCCTGGTGCAGACACAATGCCCCGGGAGGAGGCCAATCTCCACTGCTCCCAGATCTTTCTTCCCCTGCTTCATCTGGAAACAAATGGGCAGAGCTGACGTGATGCTCACGGAGAAATGTGTCTCATGAGGGAACACTGAGGAGCCATGAAAATTTCCTAGTCATGAGACAACACTTTGCCCTTCAGGGTGACTGAAGATAGACAGTGGGAGTTAGTTTATGGCAAAGTCATTAAGTCAAACTTGAAATTGTTAATAGTGAAATTCACCCCAAGGTCCCTAAGCACAAATCTCGCAGTCCTCCAAGGTGACCCCTGAAGCCAAAGTTTGTAATTACATACCTTATTGAGCCTCAGGACTTTTAAACAGAGGAGAAATAAAAACTTTACTTGAATGCATAGAGCTTCATGTTCATAACGAGTTCTGTGGTGTAGTGGATAAGGCATTTGACTGCTAACCAGAAGGTCAGTGGTTCAAACCTACCAACTGCTCCTCAGAAGGAAGATTACAAAATCTAATTCCACAAAGGTTTACTGGCTTGGAAACCCAATGGGGATCGCTATGAGTTGGAGTGGACTTGATGTTTGTTGTTGTTGTTAGGTGCTATTGAGTCATCTGACTCATAACCACATCATATACAGCAGAACAAAACACAGACCCATCCTGTGACAACACCACGATGTTTGCTATACATGAGCCCATCGCTGCAGCCACTGTGTCAATCCATCTTTTAGAGGGCCTTCCCCTTTTTTGTTTTCCCTCCACTTTGCCAAGCATGGCATCCTTCTCCAGGGAATGTTCCCTTCTTACAACATGAACAAAGCAGGTGAGATGAAGTCTGACCATTCTGGCATCCAAAGATCATTCCGGCTGCACCTCTTCCAGACAGCTTCATTAGTTTATTTAGCAGTCCATGGTACTTTCAGCATTGTTTGCCAACACCACATCTGTGG